ACGTCCCTCAGATTCCGCTGCAAATAGTCATTTTTAATGGAGATGTGGATCAAAAGATTTTCTCTTCAAATTATGATGTGTCATTGTTTCCCGTGCTCTTGATTTTATTTTAGTTGTATTCTTACCTATCTGTCGCATCCCTACCGTATTTCTCGTAATCCGTGCTGTTGAAGACGATCGACGCCTTTCGGGATGCCAATCGACGATCTCCATACAGCGATATCGCCTGGACTTGCAGGAAATATTGAAAGCCGATCTCCAGATTTTTTATTTCATAACAATTTTTCTCCTGGAATTATTCAACTATTCAATACCGATCTCCACGCGGAATTTCATTTAATTAATCATCGGTCTGAAGGGCATACGATATCCGTAATTATAATTGAACTTCAGTTTTCCATTTAAATTATATAATTATATAATTAACATACACCGATTCTTTCACATTTTTTCATGAAGAAATAGTCAACAAAATGTACTCATTATTTAGAGATTAAAATTAACAATAGAATTATTTTTAAATTATTTTTTATTACTCGAGGTTTGAAGAAAGTTCTCAGTGTTCTTGAAGAGTTAAAATATTTCAAGAAGTAAATTTCACTGGATGCTGAATAATTTAATTCAACCATAATAATTCCCTTAATAAATACCTTAGGAAGACTCTGATGATGAACCAGAATTGAGTCGTTAGGTGGTCCCCGAATAAATCGACTCCAGAAGAGTTTGTAGAAGGTGATGGGAACGTCGGATGATGGCTGCCTCCACCTGAGAAAAATTCTCAGATTTCCAGTCGTTGGTTGGACACGTGCACCACTCAGCGATAAATTCCGGGGCTCTCGGGGATTCTTCGGTGCTAATTAACAAATCGATGGGTTTAATTAATTAGGTGTGAAGGGAAGTGTTAATGTGACTACCTGCGGTCTTGAAGGGAGTGGATGGTAATGAGTATCCTTTGGATCCATTCTCATTAACCGCTGCCACTCGGAATTGGTACCAGTGTCCAGTTTTGACTTCAGCCCTGATGGAGGCGTGTGGCTTGCTGGAAACGTGACGCACAGACCACGAACTCAGTCGTGATTCCAAGTATCGGGGACCCAGTACGTGACGTTCCTCAACTAGATATCTGATACTCGATTGTTCATCGTTTATTAAATCTTCATTGAATTTTGTCATTTTCACTGGACTCTTGGTGGGACTCCAGTTGAGGGTCACCATCGTTGTTTTATCACGTCGTATTTCGATGTTCTCAGGAATCGGTGGAATATCTGCAATCAATTTAGTACCGATTCATTCGGGCCCAGGGGAAATATCTGTTGAGCAGTTGACAAATCACGAATTTTCTTCTGACCATCACGATCTTCTAGGCCTGTTGGCATCATGCAGGTGACACCGCAGTCATTCGTGCAGCATTTCGTGAAATCTGGACATTGGGAATCATCTCCACATGCCTCCAAGCAAGCTGCTTCAAATGGAGACATCGAATTCTCCTCTGGACAATTGCCAGGCTTCGTGTAGTTCTCGGATAAACAATTCACCATGCACTGTACAATAATAATTTTGTTGCTATTATGATAATTTTAATGACATTCAGTCCTAAATTCAATGATACCACTATTTCATGAAACAATTTCAAAGAGATAATTAAATAAAAAAAATTAGATTATTAGATAATTAGATTCGAAAAATTCCATGGATTTCACGACTTTTTTAAATGTTTACAATAAAATTTGAAAATGAAACTCGAAAAATTATTAATTTTTTTAAACCCGTTTGTCAACAAATTAAATTGTTAACTTGCAATTATTCGCGGGTATAAATTTCCAGATAATTTCCCTCTAGTAAATTCCAGTTATTCCGTTTATTTTTTTCTTTGTTGAAATGTTTTAAACAAATCGTCATGTTTTCCCGATGATCGGTGTTATATTTTCTTAGACGCAAATTTTTTAACTCCAGGGCGATGCACCCTGGCTATTGCTTCCTGCTTCTCCAATCCTCTGGGATTACTATCCCTCTGAATCTTTTAACCATAAACTTCCCCCCCAGAAATCGCAATGGGAAGCGCATAAATCTCTCGTTAAAAAACAGGTTCGCTTATTGGCCTACTTTTTATAGTCGATCTTCTCTCAAAAAGAGCGCCGAACCCATGAAAGTACCACTTGGCTTCCTCGAAATAAAATAAACCGTCCACCTAATTTTTTTTTTAACAATCTTCTTTGTTTTTGATTTTTTTTTTTGCTACATCTCATGCGCGTCCCCTTCCCTTCCTTGTTTTACAATTCACCCGGAAACCTGTTTTTCGATAATGCTAAGGGAGCGATTACTTCTTTATTTCCCCTCTCCATTTATTTTCACTCATTCCCTTTTGGGAAACGTGAAATGATTTTTTGTTGCGTAATCCAGTGGGCAAATGAGAATTATCCTTTTCCCTCGATTTTAATTGAGTCATTAATTGTTTTTTTATTTATTCAATTGATTCTATTCCGGTTATTTACGCACGGGAAGGAGCGGATAAATCGGTACGACTCTTCTGGAAGTTTTCTGGGAATATCTCCGAAACTAGAGGAGATACGGAAATTTTGGTGATTACCTTTTTTGCAGATCGCGATCACCTCTTCAAAAAAGGTCATCATGAAAATATTGAAATCTCCCCTCAATTCTGAGATTTCCTCAATAATTCGGTGGTAAGTAAAATCGACTTTAACCGATTCATCAATTTTCTTCTAAATCAATACTTCCATGCGATTCATGCGATTATTTAAATAAAAAAATACACTTTTACCAATAAGTTACCTGAGTGCAAGATAACAATCCAAACAAAATGGCAAAATAATAATAAAAAGATTCTCCGAATTATTGCAAAAAATTTACCTGATCAATCGGTGAATATCCATCGCACTTAGAATCGCACCTAGCCACATTAACAGGATCATAATCCTCAATATATTTCAT